CGCCGCCTCCTCAGCACTCTCGCCTAGTCCTTCGGGAACTAGGACTTGCGCGTGTGCTCCCCAATCGCATCCACCTTCGCAAGCCTCGCCCCCGCTGTCCGCGTCCCGCGTGTGCATGTCCGCACCCGTCATTCCTAAGCCTATGCGGTTTAGGCTTCTCGCGTCCGCCCCATACTCTCGTGCCAACGCGCGACTGCTACTACCGCTGCCCAACTCCCGCGCGTCCTCACCGTCGCCCGCTACGCCTATGCCTCCACGGATAAGGTGTTCGCCCGCGTTGCTGGTACTCGCGCGCCCATCGCGCGCCTCGCCCCAGCTGGCCAACCATCGCGCGTCCCGACCACTCACGCGGTTGCCGCGCACGCCAACCATCTCATCATCACCATCGTGCCCCGCGGTCTTGCCGACTTCCTCGCCTACGTACGTCCACTCGCTACTGCCTGCGAGCCCCGCGCCACCGCCGGCTTCCTCATACGCGTGCACTGTCTTTACGCAACCCGCGCACGCCGTCCCTTTGCCGCCAAACGCTAACGCATCCCAATCGACTTCCGTGGCCTGATCCTCCGACCTTATGCGCGCATCAAGGCACGATGCGCGTTCCTTGCTCGTGCTCGCACCCTCGTCGCCAACCGACTCCGGCTGCTCGTCCGATGGCCATGGGTCCCATCCCTTCAACCTCACACAATCATCCGCCGGTATCCACCAACCATTCTTTTCCCATCGCAAACCACGCCTTTTAGCCTCCTTCCTTTGAGCTTGTCTTTTCTTTGCACAGGGCTCGCACCTACATTGATTTGCTCTTCGGGCCCTTGCTTTGCGTTGTCTCTTGGCTGTCCGTTTACTTACCTTTGACTTCAGCTTTGGGCCACAACCTTTTGGCCAATCCCGTACACATGATGGCCGGTATATAGGACTAGATGGCGCCTCCAACATATTTTCCAACCAAATATCAAGATCATCGCCATCATCATTGTCGGACTCACCGGGGTTGATGACCACTTCCGTATCATTCCCCTCCTCTTCGAGACTTTCCTTGTCCTCAAGGATTAGAAAATTCAGCTCTCCTTCATCTTCATGGCCATGAACATCGATCACCATTGCTTCTCGGGCTTCCATGAGTTGTCTTTCACGATCCTCCTCAATATTCCTTCGCTCATGAAGCTCATTGTAACGCCCCGTTCGTTTATGAATAAATCGGAGTATTATTATTATTATTATTATTATTATTATTATTATTATTATTATTATTATTATTATTATTATTATTATTATTATTATTATTATTATTATTATTATTATTTGTCATTATTATTATTATTTGATTTAATTGTCTAATTACCTTTTTATTTGCATTATTATTTTTATCTGGATTAATTGTCTAAATGATATTATATTGCATGAATAATATATATATATATATATTGCGGGATTATTTATTTTAATTTCTGGACGTCTTGCAATCGAACCA